ACCCCTGTGGTACACCACAGGTCAGGGCCACATCATCTGAGACGCAGTCTCCAATCTCCACAGAGTACTTCCTATCCTCCAGGTAAGACCTAAACCAGTCTAGGGCTGTGCCAGTGACACCAGCCCAGTCCTCCAGTCTCTGCATGAGGATCTCATGGTCGACAGTGTCGAACGCGGCACTAAGATCTAACATGACCAAAACTGTGACTTTACCTGCATCAGTGTGAAGTCGAATGTCGTTTGTTACCTTCACTAGAGCGGTCTCAGTGCTGTGGTGGGGTCTAAACCCAGACTGGAACATATCAAAAGAATTATTCATTGTTAAAAATTCAGTAAGTTGTTGGCAGGCCACTTTTTCAAGAATTTTTCCAATAAATGGCAGATTCGATATGGGGCGATAATTTTGAAGTCCCGCAGGATCCAGACTGCTCTTTTTTAGGAGAGGTCTTATGACTGCTGTTTTTAGGGCCATAGGAAATGTTCCTGACGACAGAGACATGTTTACTATTTGTGTCAGTGAAGGTAACAAACTGCTCAGGACGGACTTCAGAAATTTAGAGGGCAATATATCCAGGCTACATGTGGAGGAGCTCAGACTCATGATTATCTTTTTGACAGTTTCAGTATCCACAGGTGCAAAGTGAGTTAGCTCAAAAAGCTTCTCTGGCTGTTGCATTGTTATACGTGCTGTGGAGGTGATAGTGTTTTTGATTCCTTGTACTTTGTCATCGAAAAACTGTGCGAACTCATTACACCTAGATTTAGAGGAAAATTCTAGGGGCAACTTTACAGGGGGGTTCGTTAATCTACCAACTGTTGAAAACATAACACGAAAATTGTTACTGCAACCTCCAATAATGTCAGAAAAATACATTTCTCTTGTTCTACGTAGAACCCGGTTAAATTCACCCAACTCATCTTTAAAGATTTCATAATCGCCCTGGAAATTGGACTTTCGCCACTTCCGTTCGGCCCTCCGGCACTCTTGCTTCTGTGCCCTAACCGAGTCTGCCTTAGTCCATGGGGCCTTTTTCTTACTGGTAACTATTTTAACCGTCACAGGAGCAATGGCGTCCAGAACAGTCAGAACACTGGTGGTGACAGAGTTATACAATTCATCAACAGTAGAGCATGGAGTTTTCTCAAAATTTAGCATTCCCATGAACAGTTCACTTGTGTTTTCATGTATGTGTCTTCTTCTAACAGTTGTAAATTCAGAGCTGGTGGTTTGCTAGCAAAACACATGTCAAAAAATACACAGAAATGATCTGACAAAGCAACATCAACTACATTAACATTTGATACATTAACCCCCTTTGTAATTAGCAGGTCAAGAGTGTGCCCCCTGCTGTGGGTGGGGCCACTCACGTGCTGAATGAAACCAAAGGTCTCAAATACAGAAGCCAGCTCCTTTGCATTTCTGTCATCAACATTATCAACATGTACATTAAAATCACCTGTAATAACTAAACTAAATCTGTGCACACGAATGAAAGTAGTTCAGTAAAATGGTCAATAAAATCGCAACATGACTGTGGTGGCCTGTACAGGACAATGAAAAGAGTAGAAGATTGCTTTTGTTCCATTTTAAAAGAAATATACTCAAACGATGAAAAATTTCCAAGGGGCATTCTATGGGAGACAAAGTGCTCTCTAAAGACTGCAGCTATGCCTCCCCCCCTTTTGTTTTCTCGTATTTCGGATTCGAATTTAAAATTGGGTGGTGTTGCTTCTATTAGAACTGCATTTCCTGTATTTTGGTCCAGCCATGTTTCAGCCATAAGCATAAAATCAAGATCATAAGAAGTGATAAAATTATTAATTAAAAATGATTTGTTACATAGAGATCTGACATTAAGCATAGCAAGTTTAAAAATAACGTCAGAGTCGATTAATGTGGTTGATTGATTTCTACAGGGAACAGAAATTAGATTTGCAGAGTTGGACCGTCTAACTGCTGTCCTGTTTTGATTTCGTTTTTTAGAATTTAAAAACATTTTTGAGCTGGTGCGAGGAACACACACAGTCTCAATTGGCCTAAAATGTGAAAACCCTTGTTGTTCTTTAGCTCCCAGAGTCAGAAGGGAGTCAGCACAGTTCAGTGTTTGGACTGGTAATACACTGCCAGACGGACAGGGAGCAGTGTTTGCACCGTTGTACTCACCCGGTGCTGGTGAGCAGGAGGCGGGGGAGTGCGGTGGGGTCCGAGGGGGCTCAGATGTAAACAGTCACGCCCCCCTCGGGGAACGCTGAACAACATAACGTATGTAATCCATCAACAGGCTGCTACCGTATCTGTTTGGGTGTAATCCGTCTGGACGATAGGCTTCGTAACGTTTCCAGAAAAGGGCAAAGTTATTCACAAAGACAAAGTTAAAAGAGCTGCATGTAGCCTGAAGCCACACATGCAGCGCCACAACACGACTGTAGAGGCAGTCACCTCTGTTTACAGTCTGGATTGGACCAGAAATAAAAACAGATAGTCCGGAGGATTGAAGGAGGTGGAACAGATCCATAAAATGTTTCTTCGTGACTTCTGACTGCTGAAGTTTCATGTCGTTAATTCCCACATGCACGACTACCTTGGAAACGGTATCACTCCTGTCACTCCTGTCACCCCTGCCACCCCTGCCACCCCTGCCACTCTTGTCACCCCTGCCACTCCTGTCACTCCTGTCACCCCTGCCACTCCTGCCACTCCTGTCACCCTTGTCACCCTTGCCACCTCTGTATATTGGACGAAGGGAGATGAGCACTGTTAGTTTATCCGCTATACACAACATATTGTATTTGGGCCAAAAACTTCCATTTTGGTCTCAGCACCATCTTCCATGTGTTGAATGTGTCTCTCCCTTTTTGCTTCTTGTGGCTTTATTTCAAGACTGGTTTTCCATACGTGCCTCATCCACAAAGACCAGATGTGTGTCGAGTGTGAATACAATAGTCCCCATGTGACATCAATGGTGCAATCTAGTACTGGCGACCCCGCTCCCATCTCTGTGTGGAGTGAGAGACAAATGCCCAAATTAACAATTGTAAACTGCTTTGAGACTCAGATCTGCAGTGAAAAGGCGGTATATAAATAAATAAAGAAGAAGATAGTACTATTATGAGAGGAGTACGGACTGACTGTACACAATATAGTTACTTTATCAGTTCTTTTTCAACAAATCAGTTTTTAAATGCTATAATTTTTGTCCTGACATCCTGATATTGATTTTAAAATAGTTCTAAATTCAGGCAGATTTACTTTTTTGTTTCCTCTCAGTCTGTAATTATGACCACCTCTGTCGTGCTGAGAGATGGTGGTAGAGACTTACAGTGAATCAGCCCCGGCTGTAAATTGTTTCTGTTAAAGACAATAGTATTTTGCCTGGTGAGCTGCAGGGGGAGTAAGTCATTGTTGGATTGTGTGGCCATTGCTAAGCATTTGGCACTTGGGGAGAGGTGGAGGATGGGTTAATATATTGTGTAGTAAAGTAGAGGTTTGTTTTGTGACGGTGGATTTGTTGACATTGACTATAATAACTTTTAAAACATTGTTTATTTCATTTAATTTGTTTAAATAAATGGTTTCTTTGAGCATTTGCTGAGTAAGATGGAGCTCTGCAGGAAGTTTTCATGCAGTCTTCTAATATCTTTCTTAAATTTTGCTTCATAATGGTTCCCCTTTATACACTGCTTTATTTAGGACGTGGCTCTGATTTCAGGTGTTGTCGTTGTGGTGAGGGTGCGATAATAAAGGTGCCTTAAACCAGGTCATATTTTCTACACGTTTCAGTGTTTTGTGCCGGGTTACCCTCAGCAGTGTGCGTTTTGAGGTCTGTTTTCCAGTGAACATTTATGGCGTAGCTGCTGCCATATGATTGATGAGTATTGATGTTCGTGTGCAGACATATTGGCGTCCCTGAAAATACCACAGAGGACCTTTGTGGCGCCTGTTTCAAAGAGGACATCCCTTTTCTTTTTTCTTCCTTTGAATGATCTCCCCCATGTTGGTTTGGCTAAAAAACCAGGTGCACAGACTTATATTAATCCGGACTCTCTACTGCCAATTACAAAATATTTAACGCAGGCCATAGAATAGATTAAAAAGTTTAAGTATTGCTCATGTGTACATTACATTGTGAGTCCAATACTCTGTTATATTATGGTATTCTTTGTCCTCTGGGTTTGGGAAACGTGTGGACACTGCAGAAGTTCAGCTCAAAAAGCAAGAGAGAAAATACATGAAAACAACACTAAATATTATTATGAAGTATTCATTTTTTTAAACGTATTTCCATAAAAATAAAAATAAATTAATGCACGCAAGTATGTTCAACATTAACACTAGAACTGTGGGAAAACGTCCCTAAACCCTAAAAGTAGTCGAGTTATCATGTGTTTTCTAAAAGTAATGGAATTGACCAGATGCTTATAGTTTCCAAAAATTAATAAAAAACATTTTTTGGAGCGGACCGATAAAAATGTACCAATAGGGTCCTTCATCCTCAACAGAACCAATGTTCTGGGTAAAGCGTTTACCCCTTTAACGGCTAAATCCTGAAAAAAATAGTTTTAGTTTCTCACTACTTTTATTAAAATTAAGTGTTTCATAGAGTTTTTTCACCTTTAATACATGCTAAAACTGGTTATTATAGCTGAAATACAACACACTACGGCAAGTAAACAGTGTGTTGCTATGGTAACTAGCATCCGCTCAAATCTGATATGGCACTGAACCAGATTGAGATAATTCCATAACAATAACAAAATTGAAAAAAAAAAATACTACATTTAGAAACAGAAAAAGTCACAAAGTTATGAAGACTAAAAACGTACATAAACGGCGTAATTACATTTATTAATTTATTATTAATTATTTGACGCCGTCAAATTGACTGCTCTGGGAGTTCTAGTGTGAAAAACATGATTTATTCATGAAGAAGCGTGGGTTCAAACCAAACACACACTTCCACCCGTAAATATGTTATAGTAAAGATCCAGAACTTTCACAGATGAAAACCACTCCTGATGCTTTTCTCTTTCATTTCTCTGTGAGTCCAGTCCACATTCCGGGGCAGCAGAGAGCGCTCACGGTTCTGCGCCTCCCTCCCCTGCCTCCTCCCCCTGCCTCCCTCCCCTGCCTCCTCCCCCTGCCTCCTCCCCCTGCCTCCTCCCCCTGCCTCCTCCCCTGCCTCCTCCCCCTGCCTCCTCCCCCTGCCTCCCTCCCCTGCCTCCTCCCCTGCCTCCTCCCCCTGCCTCCTCCCCCTGCCTCCTCCCCCTGCCTCCTCCCCCTGCCTCCTCCTCCCCCTCCTCCCCTCCCTCCTCCTCCCCCCTCCCCCCTCCCCCCCTGCCTCCTCCCCCTGCCTCCTCCTCCTCCTCCCCCTGCCTCCTCCTCCTCCTCCCCCTGCCTCCTCCCCCTGCCTCCTCCCCCTGCCTCCTCCTCCTCCTCCCCCTGCCTCCTCCCCTGCCTCCTCCCCCTGCCTCCTCCCCCTGCCTCCTCCCCCTCCCTCCTCCCCCTCCTCCCCCTGCCTCCTCCCCCTGCCTCCCTCCCCTGCCTCCTCCCCCTGCCTCCTCCCCTGCCTCCTCCCCCTGCCTCCTCCCCCTCCCTCCTCCTCCTCCTCCCCCTGCCTCCTCCCCCTGCCTCCTCCCCCTGCCTCCTCCTCCTCCTCCCCTGCCTCCTCCCCCTCCCTCCTCCTCCTCCTCCCCTGCCTCCTCCCCCTGCCTCCTCCCCCTCCCTCCTCCTCCTCCCTCCTCCTCCTCCTCCCCCTGCCTCCTCCCCCTGCCTCCTCCCCCTCCCTCCCCCTGCCTCCTCCCCCTCCCTCCCCCTGCCTCCTCCCCCTGCCTCCTCCCCCTGCCTCCTCCCCCTGCCTCCTCCCCCTGCCTCCTCCTCCTCCTCCTCCTCCTCCTCTCCCTGCTCTCCCTCCGCTCCCGGGCGTCAACACTGCTTCCCCACGGCTTCTCTCGGCTCCATGGCGGCTCAGGAGCCCGCGGAGGAGCGCTCGGTCCCGGTGCTGGAGCTGGACGAGGACGAAGAGGATTTGGAGGTGTTCTCAAAGGTAAACACAGCTCAAAGTTTACCGCGGACTGAGAGTGTTTCCAAACTTCCCGGAGTGATCGGAAGTTTTCCCGGTGAGTGCAGTCAAGTTGTACCTGTGCTGTGTGCTGTCACGTGAGGTCCCTGTGAGTCCGGAGAGGTCCCTATGAGTCACGTGAGGTCCCTGTGAGTCCGGAGAGGTCCCTGTGAGTCCGGAGAGGTCCCTGTGAGTCCGGAGAGGTCCCTGTGAGTCCGGAGAGGTCCCTGTGAGTCCGGAGAGGTCCCTGTGAGTCCGGAGAGGTCCCTGTGAGTCACGTGAGGTCCCTATGAGTCACGTGAGGTCCCTGTGAGTCCGGAGAGGTCCCTATGAGTCACGTGAGGTCCCTATGAGTCACGTGAGGTCCCTGTGAGTCCGGAGAGGTCCCTGTGAGTCCGGAGAGGTCCCTGTGAGTCCGGAGAGGTCCCTATGAGTCACGTGAGGTCCCTGTGAGTCTGGAGAGGTCCCTGTGAGTCCGGAGAGGTCCCTATGAGTCACGTGAGGTCCCTGTGAGTCTGGAGAGGTCCCTGTGAGTCACGTGAGGTCCCTGTGAGTCTGGAGAGGTCCCTGTGAGTCACGTGAGGTCCCTGTGAGTCACGTGAGGTCCCTGTGAGTCCGGAGAGGTCCCTGTGAGTCACGTGAGGTCCCTGTGAGTCTAGTGTGGTCCCTGTGCGTCCAGTGTGGTCCCTGTGCGTACATGATCGTTTCTCTCTTCTTTAGTTTCGACTATGGTTTTTCGACCATAGACTGTATATATTCGACACGTGACCACAGATGACAGGAGGAAGTAGTCAGAAAGTGCCAAATCAGGGATTTTTCAGGGGCGTATTTTTCTGAAACAAATGAATAAATAACATTAATGAGAAGGTCAAGTTTTTTATATAGCACATTTTAAAAACAGACAGGACTGTCACAAAGTGCTTACCAGACATTGTAAAAATACAAGACACAAATAACATTCAGCATAAAATAAAATGCAGGACACCATCATAAATGTTTCAACATTGCTTGTGTTAAAAAGCCAAAGCAAAGAAATGTGTCTTCAGCTGCGATTTAAAACTCTCTACAGAGGAGGCAGCTCTGATGGAATAAGGGAGAGCGTTCCAGAGTTTAGGCCCTGCCACAGCAAAGGCTCGATCTCCTCTGGTCTTTAATCTAGACAGCAGGCAGACATTTCCTACTTGCTTCTTTATTATGCTAAAGCTAGAGATTTATACTTTCTTTTTTATTATGCTAAAGAAGACATTTTATATTGGTTTCTTTCTTATGCTAAAGTTAGATATTTGATACTTGCTTCTTATTGATGCTAAAGTTAAAGGTGTTACACTGGCTTCTGTATTTCTCACCTTGTGCTGTGTGCTCCACATTCCTGCTGTTCTGTAACCGGAGATGCAACACTGAAATTGAAGCTTAAAGTAGCAATATGTAATATTTTCATGTCCAGTCATCATTAAAAGAGCTATACCCATTTCTGCAAGGTTTGAATGTTTAGCACCGCCCCCAACTCGCTCACAGGCTTCTCATTTCCCCTACGCTCTCATAACACGGAGCCATCTAGTTTAATTTGCGATCTGATATGTATGCTAACATTAGCATTAGCACAACTTCTTGTAAGCTGTACAACAATCTCTGATGAAATGGTACTAAAGCAACGCACTGCTAACATATTATATAGGTAAAAAAATACCGCTAGTTTCTCATCCGACTGTATTAATTAAAACATAAGAATATATTTGAGTATTTATTTATAATTTATTATACAGCTCCTCACAGCAGCAGTGGAACACTCCATTGACTTGAATGTAATTCTACCGATCATTTTTTATTGATAACAGAACTCACAAATCAATAATGACCGCAGCCCTTTGACAATGCAATCTCTGTTTGTAATTCAGGTGTGTAAAATACTGCCATTACTCCACAAGTACAACGAGAGAAGCTAGCGGAGCTAGCCACGGTCAATAAACAAATGCATATCATTCAATCGACACTATTAAATGTTAATCGGACAATACAGTACACATATACATCCTTAACACACAAGCACGGACAATTTCAGAATTTGTTGTTGTTGTTTTCATGACAAAATTACCATTTAATGTGACAAAAAGCGTTCACGAAAAACCCGGAAGTAACCATTAACATGTCGTTCCAGGGAGTTTTTGAACTAGCTAGCTTAGCTGTTACCTGCCTAGCACGTCCCGGTGAAACCTTTGGGAGCCAAGTATTTTATTTGCAGTCATTAAATACATTTCAAATTATAAGGGCTGTCCAATATTTGTTTGAATATATATATATATATATATATATTTTTTTTTTTTAAATTTTAGAATTATATTCGAATTTGGAAGCTGAAGCCCTGGTGTTTAGCAGCGCTGTAGAGACTAGAGGACGCAGGCTGTAGAGACTAGAGGACACAGGCTGTAGAGACTAGAGGACACAGGCTGTAGAGACTAGAGGACACAGGCTGTAGAGACTAGAGGACACAGGCTGTAGAGACTAGAGGACACAGGCTGTAGAGGCTAGAGGACACAGGCTGTAGAGACTAGAGGACACAGGCTGTAGAGACTAGAGGACACAGGCTGTAGAGACTAGAGGACGCAGGCTGTAGAGACTAGAGGACACAGGCTGTAGAGACTAGAGGACACAGGCTGTAGAGACTAGAGGACGCAGGCTGTAGAGACTAGAGGACACAGGCTGTAGAGGGTAGAGGACACAGACTGTAGAGACTAGAGGACACAGGCTGTAGAGACTAGAGGACACAGGCTGTAGAGACTAGAGGACACAGGCTGTAGAGACTAGAGGACGCAGGCTGTAGAGACTAGAGGACACAGACTGTAGAGACTAGAGGACACAGGCTGTAGAGACTAGAGGACACAGGCTGTAGAGACTAGAGGACACAGGCTGTAGAGACTAGAGGACACAGGCTGTAGAGACTAGAGGACACAGGCTGTAGAGGCTAGAGGACACAGGCTGTAGAGACTAGAGGACACAGGCTGTAGAGACTAGAGGACACAGGCTGTAGAGGCTAGAGGACACAGGCTGTAGAGACTAGAGGACACAGGCTGTAGAGACTAGAGGACACAGGCTGTAGAGACTAGAGGACACAGGCTGTAGAGACTAGAGGACACAGGCTGTAGAGACTAGAGGACACAGGCTGTAGAGACTAGAGGACACAGGCTGTAGAGACTAGAGGACACAGGCTGTAGAGACTAGAGGACACAGGCTGTAGAGACTAGAGGACACAGGCTGTAGAGACTAGAGGACACAGGCTGTAGAGACTAGAGGACACAGGCTGTAGAGACTAGAGGACACAGGCTGTAGAGGGTAGAGGACACAGGCTGTAGAGACTAGAGGACACAGGCTGTAGAGACTAGAGGACACAGGCTGTAGAGACTAGAGGACACAGGCTGTAGAGACTAGAGGACACAGGCTGTAGAGACTAGAGGACACAGGCTGTAGAGACTAGAGGACACAGGCTGTAGAGACTAGAGGACACAGGCTGTAGAGACTAGAGGACACAGGCTGTAGAGACTAGAGGACACAGGCTGTAGAGACTAGAGGACACAGGCTGTAGAGACTAGAGGACACAGGCTGTAGAGACTAGAGGACACAGGCTGTAGAGACTAGAGGACGCAGGCTGTAGAGACTAGAGGACACAGGCTGTAGAGACTAGAGGACACAGGCTGTAGAGACTAGAGGACACAGGCTGTAGAGACTAGAGGACACAGGCTGTAGAGACTAGAGGACACAGGCTGTAGAGGCTAGAGGACGCAGGCTGTAGAGACTAGAGGACACAGGCTGTAGAGACTAGAGGACACAGGCTGTAGAGACTAGAGGACACAGGCTGTAGAGACTAGAGGACACAGGCTGTAGAGACTAGAGGACACAGGCTGTAAGAGACTAGAGGACACAGGCTGTAGAGACTAGAGGACACAGGCTGTAGAGACTAGAGGACACAGGCTGTAGAGACTAGAGGACACAGGCTGTAGAGACTAGAGGACACAGGCTGTAGAGGCTAGAGGACGCAGGCTGTAGAGACTAGAGGACACAGGCTGTAGAGACTAGAGGACACAGGCTGTAGAGACTAGAGGACACAGGCTGTAGAGACTAGAGGACACAGGCTGTAGAGACTAGAGGACGCAGGCTGTTCACTGCTCGTTCTGTGAGCGGAGGAGAACGTCCCGCTAAGACTCCACTTAGCACTTTTCACGGTCTGTATTCTTACACATCTGAAACAATGACCTCAAGTTTTCAATTAAATTACAGATTATAATACAACTTGTATGTAGTAAAAAGCATTTTTATCAAAAATTGGGTATAGCTTCTTTAAATGGCCCTAATATGTTAAAAGACAACTGATTAAATTAGTTCAACCAGAATATGCAAATTTGAAAGTTGGATTTACAGCCCAAGTCTTGTTGTTGTTGTCATTTTCGATGTCCCGCCCTCGTTCCGTTTTATAGAAAGTCCATGATCCAGGCGCCAGAACTCACCGCGTCAAGCTAATCTTTCTGGTAAAGTACCATGTGGCCGCAGAACTAAAAAAGGTCTCGTTATGATTCTCAAATCATTAATGACAAACACAAAAAGGTGTTGGTTATTTATTTGTTGTTGCCCCAGCTGGGGTTGTGTATATATTTGTATCAAATCTGGCAAGTAGGAGAGGACTACAGAATATCCACTTTTGGCCAGATTTGAACATGGGGCTCCCTTAAAAGTTCAGCTCCCTGATTTAGGAAGTACAATAACATCCATGTCACTTGCACCTGGCTCTAAAACAATTAACTTCTGTCACAGTTTTCACAATCATGTATTTTATCTTCTGTCACATCTTTATATCAGCTTTTTCAGACTGAAAAGTGAAACAGAGAGGATCACTCGCAATCAAATAGTGACTCGCAGGACTATTTCTTACGTTTTCTGAAGGAAAGAGACAATGATGATGATCCGGGACTTTAAAAGATATTAATTTACATTTATAAACATTTACGGACATTAGTAATCCGCCCCCTATGGACCAATGGCTCTTAAGTATTTGTTATTATTGCATCTTCTGTGATAGAAATGTGTGATTCTCTGATCTGTGTTGACGAATCAACAACTTTGTAAAGTCCTCTGAGACGAGTGATTTAGAGTTGTACGGAAGACAATTGAATTGACTTGAATTAATAATGTGTAATTGTGACAGGGTGAGCCTGCAGAAACCCGGACATACTTTGCCAGTGGATTAAAAGCACCTGTCTGTGGGTCATGTGGGCCACAGTTCATTTGCCTGGACATTTATGTGTAGCTTGAAATGTATTGTATTATGTATGTACCCAAGCGTTAAATATATAAGAGATACTTTATTAATCTCACACAGGAGACATTTACATGTCACATTTGGCATGGATAGAAACAAAAAGTAAGAAATGTGCAAACATGTTGATGCAGGATATATTATGTACAAAAAGTGGCACTAAGAAAGAGGTGTCAATAGTAGTGCAGGTTTTTTCAGTCTTACTGCAGTGACTTTTTGTATATGCAATCATGAACCTAAGGAAAGAGCCATGTTTTGTAGATATGGTGGAAAATTAGGACGATTGCCATTGTGATCTTGGGAGTAGGGTGCATAAGGCGTGCCTGTGTGCCCCATGGGAGTCGTGACTCGGTTACAGAGAAGGTAACGTGGACTGCAGGAGCGAGGAGTAAAAGCTTAGGGGAAAGAGACTTATTGTAGAAGTCGTGTATATTTTTACTTGTAAATATCCTTTTTTCCAGTAGACTTTTCACTGTGCTCTATATAAATACATTTTTGTACATTTCCCACTGTTTTTTTCTACTGAGAGATTTTAATTAAAAACCTCTTAAAACGCCCTTTCCGACCCAGCCATCAGTATGTGAAAAAGACCCGTCACAGTAATGTGTAATACGTTGTGGTTTAATTCGGTCACAAAATGTTACTTTTACAAAACGTTGGTACAAACAGCATGTATTTTTTATGAAAGTTTGGTGCTTCAGATTTAACGGTTCACATTTAATAATTTTTATACATTTTTTTCAACAATTGGTCAATATCTATAGATCAAGTTTCATAATTCAGTCAAAATGGCAATTATTGCAATGTCTCTACTAGGGGTGGGAACCTAAGGGTACCTCACGATACGATACGATACACGATACAAAGCTCACGATAACGATAATATCACGATAACAATATTACGATAACGATTTTATCACGATATGACGATTATTGATAATATACAGAAATAGACAATATGCCAATTTATTTATTTTTTTCTTTATTTTTATAATCAATATCAATACTTGGCAAATGCTATCGATAATCAAATCGCGGGAGAAAGTATCGCGATATATCGAAACATCGATATATCGTCACACCCCTAGTCTCTACATGACTTTGGAAAAACAAGGTTGGGTTAGACGCTAGTGTTTGTTCAGTGTCTCCGGTGAGCGGGAGAGTAAGTGCAGGACGAGAACATGTGTCAATTCTATTTCCTTTGAATCATATTCTCAACACCTGCAGTCGTGCGGCGGTTAAAGAAATTGATAGGATTCTGCACTTTAGGTTAAAGGAAAAAAACTTGGCACAGATTAAATGGAGCCTACTCACAACTGGTAGAAATCCCCCTGGTGGTTGCTATGGTGACTCTTTTCAAAATGGGTGTCAATAATACAAATACATTTGGAACTATAGATTCTAGAATCTCGAAAAACGATTCTGCTGTTTAAAGTATAGTTTTGAGGTGAATAGTGTCTATGTAAGAAAGGGTAGGTGTCTATAACTTTAGCTTCTGCCTGTTCCTTTTTCAGACCTTATTTTGACCTTTTTTAAGTACCTAAAATTGTTTTTTAATTGTCAAAAATGTCTGAATTGAAACATTGAAATGTATATTGAATATGTGTCCTGTGTGGAGAAACAGTATTTATTAATGACATAAGATGGATGGTGGGACTAACGACAACATGTCTGACTCTAACCTTGCAAGTTCAGATGTTCGCGTGGGTGGAATTTTTATCAACTCCAGTCTGTTTTGGGTGAATAACAAGATTGTAACGCGGTTAAAAAAAAGTCCAAAACACAATCTCTGTACTATTGCGACCTGTGATTGAAATGCGTGTGATGTTTTTTTCTGCTCTGACCTGCTGTGGACGTGTCTCAGACAGATGGAGGTCCTCAGCCCACCTCTCCCAGCTCCTTGACCAACCAGTACCAGCTGGACCATGAGGACCCAGCGCAGCATCTGGACGGGAGAGAGCGAGACCTCTTCATCACGGTGGACAACCCCGAGAGTCATGTGACCGCCATCGAGACCTTCATCATATACAGAGTGCTCACTCGGGTACGGCTGCTGACGGGTCACTGGGGGCCATGGCCACTATGTGTCGAGGGACAAAAATGGTCATAATTAAAACTTCAGTTATCATTCATATTAAATTGATATATATATATATATATTTGGTGCCCATAGGGTGTTTGTGGGGCTAGCTATGTTTTTCTTTGGATATTGTCCCATGTCCTAGGTTAGAGCTGGGCATGCCCTAAAAAAGTTGTTAAATGGAGTTCGAAATCAGGCCACTTGAAGCAGCCTTGGAAAAATATATGTTTGTCTTCTTGTTTTCATGTCTTCTTGTGCAGACCACGCGACCCGACTTTGACTCCAGTGAGGTGGAGGTCCGGAGAAGGTACCAGGAGTTCTGCTGGCTCCGGAGCAGCCTGGAGGAGAGCCACCCCACCCTCATTATACCAGTGAGTCTGCTGCTGCTGCTGCTGCTGCTGTTGCTGCTGCTTTGGGGAACATGGGCAGGAGCACAGTACAGTGTACAGTGATTCTCAAAAGTACTTAGACACCTTGAACGTTTGCACATTTTGTCATGTTTACAACCATAAGACTCTATTTACCGGTAGATTCTCTTTCTATAGTTCACACACAAGTAACAGCCATCTGTGAAGTGACTAAAAAATAGGTGTGGGAACCTCACGATACGATACGATGTGTGATACAAAGCTCAAGATAGGGCCGCAACGGTTTTGAAAAATCATGGTTCGGATCAGAGGCCACGGTTCGGTTCATTTTTCGGTTCATTTTTCAAAAAAAAGTGTTTTTTTTAATAAACACGGGTCATGTGGACTGGCACCTGCAGGAGGATCAGTGAGGGGCTGGTGCTCTGTGTACTGGGTGCAGCTCTGACTGCCACCCCCCTGACCTAGAAATGGATTAAGGCGAAGAAAATGGATGGATGGAAGGCATATTCCATCCATCCACTTATGTCTTTTTAACATAATTAATGAAAAACAACACAAAGTGCAACATACGGAGGCACTTTATGAGGGAATTTACCCTCATATATTAAACCACCTCCCTGATTCTCCCAAGGGGGTGGTCCATTCTGGGCCCAGTCCAGCCTCATTCACTGCATTTATTTAATTTTCGGCATTATTAATTGTGACTGGGATATTAGTACTGAGCCTTTTGTGTCCATCCTCCGCTGCTTTTGCCCTGTGTGACTTTCGTAGAGGGGGCGTGTCTGCAGCGCCGGACTTTTAATCTCCCAGTCTGCAGTGATGAAGTGAGCGGCTATCGTAACATAGCTCTCTGTTCCGCTCATGGATCTATTATAGGTTGGGCGTAAGCCTGTAGGAAAGGGGACAGGTGGGGGGGTGAACGTTGGGCGGGTCTAGGTTGTGATTGACACTTGACATCAGCATTGGCTGTGACAGAGATGGAGAGTGATCAGAGACACCAGCTCTAGAGATTCTGTGCGGTCTTAGGAGGCAGCAGAGGCAGCGGAGGCAGGAGAGGCAGCAGACCGCCACAGAATGGGGCCTGTTTCTGAATGATATAGAGAGGAATAAAAAGTACGAACTGCTTGTCACAGGGAGCCTTCCCATATTCCCTTACAGTAACTGCTTATGTTGCGGTGCTTTGCTTGACAGTTTTGTCTGTACATTTTATGTATAAACCCAGACCAGGATAAACTATGTTGTGAGGGTCATATAGTTATAATATTCTAAACTCTGCCACAATAACCTGCGGCCACTGCACCTCCTTGTCCCCAAGGGAAATGATACCCCAATGTGCACAAAAGAGACAGTAATTTAACACACGCTCAAACATAAAGCAGTATGTTTTGTACACAAGTACAATAAACAATATACAATGAAATTGCACAGGATATACAGTGCCTTGCGAAAGTATTTGGCCCCCTTGAACCGTTCAACATTTCGCCACATTTCAGGCTTCAAACATAAAGATATAAAAATTAATTTTTTTGTCATGAATCAACAACAAGTGGGACACAATCGTGAAGTGGAACAAAATTTATTGGATAATTTAAACTTTTTTAACAAATAAAAAACTGAAAAGTGGGGCGTGCAATATTATTCGGCCCCTTTACTTTCAGTGCAGCAAACTCAGTCCAGAAGTTCAGTGAGGATCTTTGAATGATCCAATGTTGTCCTAAATGACTGATGATGATAAATAGAATGCACCTGTGTGTAATCAAGTCTCCGTATAAATGCACCTGCTCTTTGATAGTCTCAGGGTTCTGTTTAAAGCGCAGAGAGAACCATGAAGACAAAGGAACACACCAGGCAGGTCCGAGATACTGTTGTGGAGAAGTTTAAAGCCGGATCTGGATACAAAAAGATTTCCCAAGCTTTAAACATCTCAAGGAGCAATGTGCAAGCAATTATATTGAAATGGAAGGAGTATCAGACCACTGCAAATCTACCAAGACCCGGCCGTCCCTCCAAACTTTCATCTCAAACAAGGAGAAGACTGATCAGAGATGCAGCCAAGAGGCCCATGATCACTCTGGATGAACTGCAGATAACTACAGCTGAGGTGGAAGAGTCTGTCCATAGGACAACAATCAGTCGTGCACAGCACAAATCTGGCCTTTATGGAAGAGTGGCAAGAAGAAAGCCATTTCTCAAAGATATCCATAAAAAGTCTCGTTTAAAGTTTGCCACAAGCCACCTGGGAGACACACCAAACATGTGGAAGAAGGTGCTCTGGTCAGATGAAACCAAAATTGAACTTTTTGGCCACAATGCAAAACGATATGTTTGGCGTAAAAGAAACACAGCTCATCACCCTGAACACACCATCCCCACTGTCAAACATGGGGGTGGCAGCATCATGCTTTGGGCCTGCTTTTCTTCAGCAGGGACAGGGAAGATGGCTAAAATTGATGGGAAGATGGATGGAGCCAAATACAGGACCATTCTGGAAGAAAACCTGTTGGAGTCTGCAAAAGACCTGAGACTGGGACGGAGATTTATCTTCCAACAGGACAATGATCCAAAACATAAAGCCAAATCTACAATGGAATGGTTCACAAATAGACGTATCCAGGTGTTAGAATGGCCAAGTCAAAGTCCAGACCTGAATCCAATCGAGAATCTGTGGAAAGAGCTGAAGACTGCTGTTCACAAACGCTCTCCATCCAACCTCACTGAGCTCGAGCTGTTTTGCAAGGAAGAATGGGCAAGAATTCCAGTCTCTCTATGTGCAAAACTGATAGAGACATACCCCAAGCGCCTTGCAGCTGTAATTGCAGCAAAAGGTGGCGCTACAAAGCCGAATAATATTGCACGCCCCACTTTTCAGTTTTTTATTTGTTAAAAAAGTTTAAACTATCCAATAAATTTCGTTCCACTTCACGATTGTGTCCCACTTGTTGATTCTTGACAAAAAAATTTAATTTTTATATCTTTATGTTTGAAGCCTGAAATGTGGCGAAATGTTGAAAGGTTCAAGGGTGGTCGAATACTTTCGCAAGGCACTGTAGAACACTAGTTATACTAACAAAGGTCCTAAGGTAAATTCAGCTAACTAATCTAACAATAAAAGCAACTAACTAATGATTAAATCTACAATATTCAACAACAACGCTTTTAACACTACACAATTATCTACAATACAAACAGCTACTGTAAGCTAATAAAAATCTACCTAAATACTATAACTAATCGCAAACCTGACAATCGATGAAAATATTCTGTTATTCCTTCTCCAACTCGCTACGGGGGCGTGAACGAGACTGGGCCGTTTATATACCTCAGAGCGGCAGGGCTGCTGACGTAAGCAACAACTGCTGCGCCAATGGTGGCGCCAGATTCAAAATTCAAATGTAGTAATACAGGTCGCCTGCAGATGGCGCCTCACAGACGGTTTTAGGCAGAAAGTTGATCTTTCAACTAATTTTCACTAAAGTGATGAAATTATGACCAGGATATGTAGACAACACTATTGGACACTCATTTATAACGTTTATCAGCAAAAAAAAAGTATATTTGAGGGTGAGTTGTCCTTTAAAGTGAACAAGCAAAAATGCCTTTTAACCTTCACATTTTAGTAAAAATCTGACTTAATCTGTCTCACATCCAATAAAATCAATATGAACATTCTACAGAAATGGTGGAATGCGTAGTGTAGCCATATATTAAGTATCAATACTTTTTAACATTTTTTTATTAAATCGATGATTAGCAAAAGCATATCGATAATCGATCGTGTGAGAAAGTATCACAATACATCACCATACTGATATATTGTCACACTCCTACTGAAAAATGATACATGATTTGTTCAAAAGAGAAATGTGAAAAGTGGGGCATGTATAAGTTTTCATACAGCATTAAATTTCGTTTAACAAAAATCCTAAAGATGCTGAATGTTCACAACGATTAAATAGAGCCCACCTGTGTTTCATCTACTGTCAGTATAATGACGGCTGTTCTCTGACGGCCTCAGAGCTATCGCAGCGTGAAAGATGTGACCAATTATTATCCTTGGTAAAGGTGGCTTTGATCACGGCTAATTTAGAGTTCCCTTTTTGTACTCGTTCATAAAAACCAATGGCTCAGCTTTTTATTGTCATGTTTGAATCTTTGTCATGAGGGTCACTAATAAAAATGGTTAAACAAATGAAAGAGCCTTCAGCCCTATAGACCCTGTCCTTCCAAATCTGTTTAAGGAAATGTGGGGAACAATTAGGTCAAGTTGTCAATAGTAGCTTGCTCTCTGGGATTGTGCCCCCATTTAGGCATTTATGCAAACAGGCTGTGACTTAACCTCTACCTAAGAATCTGAGACTTGATTCTTGCTAATTTTAGATCAATATCAAAGATCGCTTTTTTAGCTTGAATATTGGAGAAGACAATCCTTAGTCAATGTAGAGCCACTTTTAGCTGTGTTCAGTCTGACTACAAAGCCCTGTAGTCAGCCCTGTAGTCAGCCCTGTAGACTACAAAGCCTGCACAGCACAGACTCAGCTCTCTTAAAGGTTTTTTTAATTACTTTCTTTTAATGACAGTAATTCAGCCATTTTCATGCTTTTAGACCTGACTGCAGCTTACTGTGGACCATGCAACTCTTTCAAACAGCCTGAACGACTGTGTCAGAGCGACTGCTTCAGACTGGTTCAGTTTGTACCTGTGCACTGCGATTTCACAGAATGCATTTCTCCAATTTTAGCTCCTGTGCTCTGGCTTCCTGTTAGTTTTGATTGATGTTTAAGATTGTATTGTTTGTTTTTAACGCTTTGAATGACCTGGCCCCAAATGTTCTTGTTGGATACTCTGGAGGAGCTCAAAGTAGTTCTGATGCTCCTCAACTTTGAGAGGAGCCAGTTGAGGTGTCTCGAACCTCTGTTTGCGATGCCTCCTGAATGGCTCCCTGTGGAGGTGTTCTGGACATGTCCCACTGGGAGAAGACCAGGGGAAGACCCAGGACATGTTGGAGGGACCATGTTTTTCAGCTGGCCTGGGAACGCCTCAGCATTCCCTTCATGAGCTGGACAAAGTTGAAGTCTGCTTTGACTATAAAGCAGAAGATCCTCGTACCTGCTGTCTAAATGTTCTGTTTTCAATTTTGTATTAGCACTTTTCTGACTTACACAAAAAATGTTTTACCATTTAAGTTAGTTTTCATCAGTCAAATTAAGTTTTTTAAGTTGTGTGTGCCGTGTTAAGTTAAGATCTAAATTTAGCCTTCCTACTTGAAATGCAGCATCTCATTTTGGATGGGGGTGGGGGTCATTCTTCTCATAACATATTCTATCTTTCCTGTTTGTTCTTTTAATTACAAATTCTAGGCACAACTGAGTTTTGTTCATGTCTGTTTCAGCCTCTGCCGGAGAAGTTTGTGATGAAGGGGATGGTGGAGCGCTTCAACGAAGACTTCATCGAGACACGGAAGAGAGCGCTGCAGCGTTTCCTACACAAGATCTCGGTGCACCCCGTCCTGTCCCACACCGCCCCCCTCAAGGCCTTCCTCACAGCACAGGTACTGGACCACAGCGCACACTATCTGAATAATTTCCTAACCAGCTGATGATCCCGGCTGAATGAAGTAAAGTAAGCAGGAAGTAAAGGCTCTGATGTCTTCTGCTGCAGACAGTAGTCACCTGTGTGCTCCAGCTCAGATCACTGCCTATTTCATGAACACTGGCTCATGCTGAAAATATATCAGAATCAAAAGCTGCTGTTGTTTCTGAGTGAGAAATAAGTCTCCCGGCTGGGCCTGGTTAGCACTGTGATCGAAGACCTCAGTGTCCTTAAGCAAGACACCTTACCCACATTGCCTAGAATAAGTGTGCGCGTGAATGGTTGGTGGTGATCGGAGGGTCCAGGGCACATACCCGTTGCATAGCTACTGTCAGTTTTCCCTAGTGCAGCTGGAGATTATCACCACTGAGAATGGAGTGATGTCCCACTGTTGTGGGGAGGAGGAGGGTTTCTGTGCAAGTTCAAAGTGTCAGGATTGAAGTGAAGAGGTGGGATAGTCTTAAGCTCACCGCACACCGAAACGCAGCGCCTCGCGGCGCGTCATTTGACGCGCGTTCATGACATGTGTCAAATTACACCGGAACGCCTTGGCTAGCGTCCTTTTCCAGCTGATATAGCCAATATAGCCAATAAAAATAGCTACAATTACCTATTGTTAGCTTACCTGTACATTCAATTTCAAGTGAAATTGAATGTCCAGGCAATTTCCTTTCGCACGATATCCTTATAAAAAGGATTTTGTGGGTTAAATAGCTCTGGGTAACGCTGTACTTGGGTTATCAAGCTTTCCTCGTCCATTGTGACCGGTTTACTTGAGCAATAGCGCCGACAAGTGTGTAAATTTGAGACCGCGCTCACAGCTACGCGATAAGAAGCGCAGAAGAAGAAAACTACGGGTGCTTGGAGGGACAGTTTCAGCCGCGGCGCCGCGTCTGGATTCAACAAAACTGAATCGTGGCGCCCGGTCCAGCGTCGCCGCGCGTCACTGCAACCTTGGTGTGCGTTCTCTCATAGAAAATAAAGGAGGCGGCTCTTTTGCCGCGCGTCAAGGCGTTTCGGTGTGCGTTGGGCTTTACAGTCTGAGCCTTTGTTATATTCTCCATTTGTGGGTGTGTTCTCAGGACCTGAGTCCCCATAAGAAGCAGGGCCCGGGGCTATTCAGTCGCATGGGGGACACGGTGCGCTCCATGGCCCAGACGGTGAGGGGCGTGAAGGGCCGATCAGAAGAGTTCTCCTCCCTCCAGGACTATGGGGACCAGTTCAGCTCCACCATCAGCTCTGTGGACAAAGTCACGCAGAGGATCGTCCGAGAGCAGAGAGGTGACACAGACAGACACACACACACACACCATGCTAATCCCAGATGAAGGCCTCTCGTCCTGCTTCAAAAAAGGCATCTAATTTCTGTCCGTGCTCGTCTTTTATTTGTTGACGAAATTACGGGTTTACATGTTAGTCACTTAATTTTGTAGTATTGGGATTAGTGCTTTATAACTAAAGTTACTTTGATGACTATTGTATGGTGCACAGCAAAGTTGGTCCCAGGTGAAGGTGAGGGACTGTTGTGTTGTTCCACCAGAGTATCTGGACGAGCTGCAGCAGTACAGCCCCACCTACAGCCAGTGGGCGGAGCTTGAGGAGGCGGGGCTATCAGAGGCCATGAGGGGCGTGGCCAGGAGCCTGGAGCAGTGCACCGCCGAGACGGAGGGACAGGTGCAGGAGCTGTCCGAGGTGCTTATCCCACTGCTGCACGAGTGTGTGCTGAGTGCAGACACGCTCAAGGTACGTGTGTGTGTGTGTGTGTGTGTGTGTAGTAAATATTCTCATGTATGCATGCCTTCTGTTCCAGACTGTGCTGAGGCGCAGAGACAACATCCAGGCCGACTTTGAGCTGAAGAAGCAGAATCTGGCAACGAGGAAAGTGGACCCTGAGGCGGTGAGTGTGTGTGCTTTTACTTTGCTAGCTTAAGATGCTACACATGTTTAGAGAATTTGGAGCCAATTGAGCCCCATCGGTGAAAGGTCTGAGGTGGAGATGAGTGAAAATGGCTTATTTTTCATTTTCACTTAAATGTTTGTTTGTCCTCTCTTGATGAATATGTGGACTGAATTCTGTGTCTTTGGGTATTTATTGATTTATGTCTTTTTTTTTCACAAGCTCTGTTCTATTATTTATTGTATTTCAAATGGATCGTCTCCCTCGGCATCCTCCACTGACACATATTTATTTGTTTAAATACCGTCGGTCGATTGATTTGTGCTCTGTAAGTATTTGAGTTACTCAGTTTGAGGAGTTTCTCTGAGATGGAGGAACTAAGAAAAGACCTGAGTATCACAAATAGATCGAGGTGTTCCTTGCCGAAGCAGGAGGGTCTAAGAACAGTGATGATTTGGGAAATTGAAGGACATTTAAGGACATTGGTCTTGACCAACAGGCTTCATGGCTCCTCTGTGTTAGTTAGTGATGCATCTCCTGTTTTCTAATTGTTTGATTCTCTGATCTGTTGTTGGCGATTTGACCACTTTGTAAAGTCCTCTAAGATTACTTCTCTTATTTTGCGATACACAAATAAGTCAAATTGAATGTAAGTTTAGAACCATAGGAGGTCCCGGCCAAGTACATCTAAACGAATATGGCAAAAAAGTTGGAAAGTTTATGATCATAAAAACGTATAAGCACTGTCTTAGTCCGTAAACTTTCACACCTCCGGCTCAAACCCACTGGCTGCGTCTCCGTTGATGCAGCTGTAACTGAACAGGAGCCTGACACGGCAGACATTAGTCCAGCTTGAGTGGGGGTGTTTGGCTCTTTCTGAAACTCCACAGTTTAGAAAACTAACTTCTCCCACTGCCTCCTGTCTTTTTGTCACTCAACCCAACTTTGCCTGAAGCCCCCGCTGAAAGATCAAGGCTGTGTTGTCATTGACAGAAATGGACAAATGGGATGAAAATGGATGGATGGTTTTATTCAGTATCTGCACTAAGCAGGCCCTGCCCCGGGATCTGGCTCCACCCCTCCCTACAGGACGTACGCTTCAGGGACGTCTTATGTGGTCGTGGTAAATGATCATACTCTGCTTTTAATTCTCTCCTGTCTGTGTACTCTCAACAGAAAACATCAAAAATAGGATTCATTCTACAGTATGTGGCTCTGTTGCACACCATGGGGTCACTTCAATTCACTCAACAATGATAACAAAAACAGAGATGAAAAAAAAAAAGAAACAGTTGGTTTGAGTCCTGACCCCCCACTCTGCAGCGCTCCGCTGTGATTTTGGTCCGACCTGTCTCCCGCTGAGAGCACTGTCTCTCATGGGCTCACGTCCCTCAGCTGTGGTGAACCTCACACCTGCTGCTGTTGTTTAGTTTCTGTAGTTTCTGTAGTTTCTCATCTGTCCTGGACCTTATTCTTCTTGTTTGAGTTTTTGTCAGATATTGATGTGAAATGAAGCAGTGCTCGTGAAGGAGCCAGACGTTTTTGAACTCTCCATTAGTGCTTCAGTGATTTTAGATGTATAGAAATAATTTATAATATAAAAAATAAATTTGAAAAAAACAAAAGTCCATCTCAATGCTTCGTTGGTAATGACAGAGGGCTAACGTTTTTAAGTCTTCACAAGGTTTTTACACACTGTATATCGTTGCTGGAATTTTGGCCCACTCCTCCATACAGATTTCTTCTAGAGCATGGATGTTTTGGGGTTTTGCACACACTTTCAACTCTCTCTTCTTTCCTTTACATGGATCAATCATCCTGGTTCCTTTGCAGAAAAACATCCCCACAGCATGATGTTTCCACCCCCATGCTTCACAGCAGGTATGGTGTTCTTTGGAGGAGATAGAATGCTGAGACAAACATTCCCCCAATCCTCTTCTGGATCATCCAAATTCTGTCTAGCAAACGTCAGGTCTGGACATATAACTTCAGTCTTTAGCTTTTAAAAACAAGCAAAGTATAAAAAATATAAACTTAAAGGATATAATTTTGTATGCTCTAGTGCAAAGAAGTATATACAGTGTCCATATTATTGTATTGGTATGATATCGGCACTCTCGTCTCTCAGCAAGAAGGTCCTGGGTTCAAATCCCGGTCGGAACAGGGCCTTTCTGAGTGGAGTTTGCATGTCCTCCCCGTGTCTGCGTAGGTTTCCTCCGGGTGCTCCGGTTTACCCTACCACTAAAAACATGCACAATAGGTCTGAATGTAAATGAGAGAGTGAATGGATGGTGTTGGAGCTGATGGTCCAGTGTGTTCTCGCTTCTGTCATCACCGTGTGTGGAAGGATTGGAACAATATCTGACTGAACATTGTAAAGCGCTTTGGGTGACCTTGGTCTGTAAAATGTGCTTTATAAATAAACATTACTTACTTACTACTACATAGGGTTTTTATTTTTACAAGGACAGTGTATTTCAATTCCTATTATTTTTGCATAGCCCTGAATCGCAACAGTAGTTATTATGGAGGACTTTACACAGGAAATGCAATGATAAAATAAAACATGGATCCATTGGTCCATTAGGGGCAGAGACCAACGTTCATAAAGAAAATGTCGTTGAATGTTGTGTGTCCGGGATCATCACTACTGTCCTTAGACCCTCCCAAGGAAAAAAAACCCAGTGGGAGAAAATGGGAAACCTTGGGAGTCCCACATTGAGGCAAATCAAATTTCAATCTTTAGCTTAAAAAAAATTAATTAAAACATAAAAGATATAAAACCGCATGTATATCTAGTGCCAGTATTACTGTAGTGGTTTGGTTTTTATTGGGCGACACGGTGGCTGAGTGGGTAGCTCTCTCGCTTCTCTTTCTGAATGGAGTTAGCATGTTCCCCCCGTGTCTGCGTAGGTTTCCTCCGGTTGCTCCGGTTTTTCCCTTCCACAAAAAACATGCACAATAGGTCTGAATGTATCGAGTGAGTGAATGGATGGTGTGTCGCTTCCGTCATCACGTGTGGAGAGAATGGAAATATATCTGACCTTGGACCATTGTAAAGCGCTATGGGTGACCTTGGTCTGTGAAAATGCACTATATAAATAAAGATTACTTCCTTACTTGCTTTCTTATTAAAACGGAGACGGTGTGGAATAAATATTAGCCAGAAGGAGGGATAGTAGCAGGTTATAGCAGGAGCTCATTCATACTTGTAGTCTCTAAGCAGCTGGTTGTAATATTCTTTGTATAACCTGAGCAAAGTCATACTCTAGTCTTTGGTAGTTTTCAGTCTGTGGTTATTGATTAATTTGGAGCACCCAGACCCTCTCAGAGTCTTTGTAAAGGGTGGGGTCCTGGAGAGTGCTAGTGAGCCGTGCAAACAGGAACTGGGGCCTCTGTGTGTGTGTGTGTGTGTGTGTGTGTGCAGTATCCTCCCGGAGCTCAGCCTTAATAACGCACTCGCACCTCGCTCTCTGCGCTCAGCCAACAAAAGCTTCCCGACAGATTATCCACACATCCAAGTCCCACACGCTCCTGCGCTCCTCTGCCCTGCGCCTCCTCCAACGCCAATCCCAGCGTCAATACTCCTCCTGCGTAAGCCCGCGCACTAATCACAGCTAATGAAAATTCCCATCTCCTCCGCGGGGGCTCGGCGGATTCAAAATGTCAGGAGACGGAGCGCGAGGAATGAAAAGTTAGCAGAGTAAAGGACAGGGCTATATTAGGCGTTCAGGTGTAGATCATAAGTGGATCTATAAGAGGTTTAATTAAGGAGAAGGCTTGGCCACAATAAGGCGCTCACACTTTTAATTAACGCTCTGTGTGCGGCTGTGGGACGTGCTGGATCTACAGCTGTGGGCCACTGAAGGTAAGTGTAATGTGAGCCAACAGCTGGGACTTTCACATCTACTGCAAGGCAAGTTTATTCATCCTCAGGTCAAAAAGACCCACCACAGTGATTCAATCAGGGTCTACAGGGGTCTAAAGGACCCAGGGCCGATCAAGTGAGGAAAAGTCATCAAAATTCAGCTCAAATAAAAAATCCAAGTACAGTGGTCCCTTGTTTATCGTGGGGGTTACGTTCTAAAAATTACCTGCAATAAACAAAATCTTCTCCGTAGCAGCTGTATTTTTTAAGGTTGTGAAACCTCACACTCTATACATTTTTCTCACTACCTGAACTCACGACTGCTGAAGTGCGATCAGATAAACTAACATATTATACTGTAGTATACATAGTTATACTTGTGGTTACATAATGTTGTTGGAGTAAACACGCGGCGCATTAGAAGCACACTGTAACAAAACGGAAAGAAAAATCTGCAAAGAGCAAAAGACCACACAATAAAATCAGGTTCAAACAGAAGCATGTTAACCTGGATTGAACATTGTCAGAGCAGAAGTCTGTCTCTGTTTTAGCTGCATTAATCTGAAACTCTGGCTTCTCCTGTTTAGTCCTGACTCTGGGACCAGCAGGAGGCGAGTTACCAAGTGACTGGGAAAGAATGACATTCAAAGGGCGCATACAGTGCATGAGTGCACTAAGGACTTTTTAAACATCGTCCCAAAGCCTAAATAGCTCCTTCTTGAGCCTCCTGCTGGAGGAGAAGCAGGAGACGCAGGAGGAGACCCAGGAGGAGACCCAGGAGGAGACCCAGGAGGAGACCCAGGAGGAGACTCAGGAGGAGACGCAGGAGGAGACGTAGGAGGAGAGACAGAAGATGCAGGAGGAGAGACAGAAGGAGATACAGTGGAGACGCAGGAGGAGACGCAGGAGGAGACGCAGGAGGAGACGCAGGAGGAGACACAGGAGGAGACGCAGGAGGAGACGCAGGAGGAGACGCAGGAGGAGACGTAGGAGGAGAGACAGAAGAAGATGCAGGAGGAGAGACAGAAGGAGATACAGTGGAGACGCAGGAGGAGACGCAGGAGGAGACGCAGGAGGAGAGACAGAAGGAGACACAGGAGGTGCTTTCCACTTCGTTGGAAAGCACAAGTTTGATTTAGATTTCCACTTCTCCCAATCATCCCCAAGTGCTGGACTAAATGTTTGTGTCTAGAATGCTTTCACAGGAGCTGCGCTGATGGACGGGGTGTACACAAGTGCTCCACAAATGAGACACACCTCACACTCACTCAGCGGTGTATGTGAGACTAACAGCTCAGAATGCACTGCTGCCCCCTGCTGGTGCTTCATGTGTACCTCAGAAGCTTAGGCTGAAGATGAAACTGCACACACTGTTATGTATAAAAAGTGTGTGTGTGTGTGTGTGTCCAGCTTCAGGAGGAGGTGGACCTTCTGGCTGAGCGAGTGGAGCAGGCTAACGAGGCCCTGAGGTCAGACTGGGACCTCTGGAGGAGCAGCCTGAGGTCCGAGGTTCGAGCTGCTCTGGTGTCAACAGCAGACAGGAAACTGCAGAGCTACGAGAAGGTAACACAAAATCTGCTCTGGAAACACAAAATCTGCTCTGGAAACACAACACCTTCACTCCGACAACACAACACCTTCACTCCGACAACACAACACCTGCACTCCGACAACACAACACCTTCACTCCGATAACACAACACCTTCACTCCGACAACACAACACCTGCTATGATAACACAACACCTTCACTCTGATAACACAAAATCTGCTCCGGTAACACAACCCCTTCACTTCAACATGGCACGACCTCATCAAAGAGAAGCCATTGTTTATTATATTTGACTGTACTTTTTACACTGTAAAAGGGACACTGTATAATTATCACATAAAATCCATCAATTCAATCGACCAATCTTTATTTGTATTATTTTATATTATTGTATTTTCTACAAAAATGTAAAAAAGTGCAATACAATGAATCAACAGGAAAAACATTTAAATCATACACTGAAATCATAAATAGCGTGGCATCAAACAGAGACTATGGTCCTTCAGTTGTACTCACAGCTGAACAGACGAAAACCTGCACCAGACTTTTGCTGCGTAAATCTGAAACGCTGCCTCCACATGTTTAGTCCTGACTGGGCCCCAGCAGGAGGCCAGTCCCTCTGCTCAGAGCCCCAGCAGGAGGCCAGTCCCTCTGCTCAGAGCCCCAGCAGGAGGCCAGTCCCTCTGCTCAGAGCCCCAGCAGGAGGCCAGTCCCTCTGCTCCTCAGAGTCTGAGTTGGTCACGAATGTTCTTTGTTGCAAGGCCATGGAGAGACTTGTAACAAACTGATGCTTTAAAGTCTATTCTCCGAGCCACAGGAGCCAGTGCAGAGACCTGAGACCAGGACTAAAGTGATGATACTTCCTGGTTCTAGTCAAAACCAGTGAGCAGCCGTTCCAGCAGTCTAACCTAATGGAGACAAATGCAGGATAAGAATCTCCTCCTAGTGTCTTAACCCATGTCTGTTAGTTGGTAAAAATCTGCTGATGTTGTCTTTCTGAGCAGGTCACGTCGGTGTTATGAAGCTTATGGCGCCAGATTTACGCCAAAAGTCCACACGTGCAATTAAAACATACACGCGCAGCTTTATGTAATTTACACGCGCGTAAACTACTCTCCACGAGCATATTTCACACCACACGTGCGCAGACTCAGTACAAGCCACAATACGCGCGTGTGTGCGCTCGTGACCTGCCCTCTCCCTTCTCGTGGTCTGTGTTCTGCGCGTGTTGAACACTTTTGCCATCTCTTCTACGCGCGCGTGAAATACTTTTGTCGCTTGGGGGCGGGGCCAGTGAAAGGTAAACAGCCCACTGCAGCTTGGAGATGGAAAGCATATGATTAATCCATAGACTGTATATCTTTTTTCTAACCCTAACTGGGCTATTGTAGTCTTTAACGTGGCATGTACACTGTCGTGGACACCCTATAGGCTTACACCAGGACGTGTTTAGTTCGTAAATGTTTAATATTCTCTCCTAATAACGTCATCAGCCTATGTTGCCGCAAGGCTAGCCAGGTACATCCCGGGACCTTTGTCATCGCTGTACGTTGTTTACACTGAATGCTTTGTCAGAATCATGTCAGGACCGTTATCAAAGTTTAATAAAACTGTCTCTGAGTTATTTGTTTGCTTTTTATTTGCATAATTATAGCGGTTTGACCTAATGAGTCTATGCTAACTAGCAATAAATCTGTCAGTCCATAAACCCAAATATCAAAAATGTGTACACAAAGTTTTGAAACAAATGAGCTATCTGAATTGTTAACATTGCTAAATAGTAGTAAACTTCATTTGATGTCATGTATTTTTATTAATATGAACTTAAAATTGGGGCTAAGCTGTTTCAACCTGTCATAATTGGCTTCTGTACCTGTATTGTGTTTGCTAGTTTAGGATGGCTATCATCTCTACACACTACACAGAACCCCTGAATAGTTCTGATGGTGCAGGTTATCTTCATGGTCCTCTGCGATGGGCACCAGTTCCTGATCCACACACACTGCAGACCAGCAAGATGTAAAACATCATTTGGTCAGACTTCGTTTGCAGTCGAAGAGCCACAGCTCTGGAACATTTCACCTGCTGAACTGAAATCTCTAATATTTTTATGCCTTAGCGACTGCCAATTATCTGTTTGCTATACGGCCTATGAACATGGCATTGGTTACCTGTAACAATACTTTTTGTTCTGTGCCTGTCAAATAAACATGTAATAATAATACTATTCTCACAGAACAGTGGGTTGTAGATAGGAGAAAATGGCCATCAGTTACCTGGCCTAATATCTATAATTACCTCACTCAGGCCCCCAGTGTCTATACAAAAGAGAACCTAAATCATATAAATCTATAGATGCAGACAATTATGTGTTATGTAAAGAATGTGAAATACTTTGACTCTGGTACTGAGTTCCGTGTTTTGAGGCAGATGTGCTCCCAGTCAGAGAGTGGGCATTAAGTCAAAGCCTTATGATGCCTGGGAATATGTCTACAAAGACTTGGGGTACATCCTTACCCTGAACTGTTCTTGTATAGCAGGAAATGGACTTGTAACGGGTGTGGGCACCGTTGTAACTTGTTTTTATTGTTCAATTACAGTCTTGACTTGGTGCACACCTGTTAACCCCTTTATTAGTGTAATCTGCGTTGTGTTCCATGTTCTGCGCTGTCTGAAGAAGGACCATGACACAAGGAGGATCACTGGATGACTTTTACTAGTAGTTATGCACAAAATAAAAGAAAACATAAATCCACTTCACGTCTCTCCATGCATTCAGCTCAGCAGTCCTCTCCACAGATGCAAGGCACAGACTATGGTTCTCCTGATAAAGGAAAAAAGCAACATTAGCTCAAGTTATTATTGCCTTTTTAGTGGTATACAGGTTGATCACTTTTGTTCTCCAGTTGTTGTAATCAAGGAAAAACACCACACACTTCGTGGTTTTAGAGCTGAATACTTTAGTACTAAAGTATTTATGTGCTTTTGTTGTGACTAGAAGGCTACACAGGCTAAATCATGAACAGCTGTTTCTCCTCAGACTAAAACGAAGGAGCCTCCTTAGCTAACTTAGCAAAACAGCTAAAATGCTAACTGCCGGTTAGCATTTTAGCTGTTTGAGCTTGCTTTAACTTGACTGAACTAACTTGAACTACATCTAGCGACATCATGTAACCTAGTGATTACTTATGGATTGGACTTTTTGATTATTAGATAATGTAGGACACAAACACAAAGTGTGTTCCAGTGTTCTTCCTTCTTTAGCCACTCAGCTATGCACATACAACTTGCCTGTGACGTGGCCCAGAAACCCAGTGTTTACCTTTCACTGGCCCCGCCCCCAAGCGACAAAAGTATTTCACGCGCGCGTAGAAGAGATGGCAAAAGTGTTCAACGCAGAACACAGACCACGAGAAGGGAGAGGGCAGGTCACGCGCGCACACACGTGCGTATTGTTGCTCGTGGTACTGAGTCTGCGCGCGTGTGGTGTGAAATGTGCGCGTGGAGAGTAGTTTGCGCGCGTGTGAATTACATAAAGCTGCGCGTGTATGTTTTATTTGAGCGTGTGAACTTTTGGCGTAAATCTGGCGCCATAGAAGCTGCTCATGACATCATAGACGGTGGTCTTTCCTGTTATGCCAGCAGTGACCAGCAGGGGGACAGTGCTCAGCAATGGATAGCATTAGAATACAGTAAACTGATTTAGTGCAATGCTTTTGTTTGAAAGGCAGAGATGGGTCTGTTCATGACCTCAGAGTCTGTAATTAATCTGGATCTAAATGTTTTACCAGTCTGTTGTAGCTAGTGCCGTGTTCTTTGGGGTTGCGTGTTTGTGGAAGTCTGACCTCAGAGACAGTAATGCCGCTTTTCCACAGTCCTAGTACGGTACGTTTTGACTCTACGCAGCTCGCCACGGCCCAGTTCGCAAGTGCAGCACAGCACGAGTAGTTTTTGAAAATGCTTATGTCTTAAAAGAATGACTCAGACACTGTGAAGTCAATGGTGCTGACTGCTCTGTACAATCTGAATGGACCTGTAGCAACAGCAGCCTGTGTAGCAGAGGAGGAGGGCTGCATGTCCGAGGACACTGCTAGGCTAAAGCTAATGCTAGCGCTAGCTCGAGACTCAGCTCACTCACTAACCCTGGATTCCAAAGCTACTACAATACTACACTTAACACATCTATCACTGCCCTCAGAGGAGGATCCAGGGTTTAGACTCGTCATATGGCAACTCGAGCAGTAAAGGACCGAGGTATAGACAGAAGCAGCCATAGGGGTAGCGAGTTAGCGGCTAAGCTAGGCTAGGCCAGGCTAGTCCAGACTCGGGTCCAGTGCAGCAGACTCCGAGACCAGACAAACAATCGATACCCAAACCTCAGCTACAATAATAATAAATTAATGAAACACAGTCTTGGGATACAATCACAGATTTATTGAAAACAGAAGTAAAGTGCAAAACCAACAGTTTACAAAGTCAAAAGTACGTATGTCTGAGACCAGATGAGGAGAATACTCCGGTCAATCATTACTCGTTGGTAATCCCCACACTTATGGGAAGAGATTCTCATACAAATATACACACGGCATCTTAAATACAAACACACAACAGAATGACAACACGTGAATACTGCAGATAATACGAGATAAAGCACAGTAGCACAGGGAGGACAGTAGCTAGCTGCTATCGATAGCTAAATGAAGCTAAGTGTAGCTAGCTCACTGTGTACAACAGACCATCAAACATTTACTCAGTAAATACATTTCAGTGAGAGCTTTAGGGGGTTCGTAGCCAACCAGTTATTTCAGGATTACCACAGACTAGTCACAAATCCAGAGCTGGTGATCTCCTGAAAACTGTGTTGAGCCTCGAGCTGCCTTTGAATTCTTTCTTTGGCCTGAAGAGAGGAACGTGTGGACCTCTTCCACCGACCAGGACCAGGACTTTTGGGGCTTTCTGTGCAATTCCATTTCTCTGGAGTGAGGAGGACGTAATGTAGCCGAAGCAGAGCC